GAGGTGTGTGTGGACGAGGGTGGTATGGATGAGGAGGTGCACGTGGACGAGGGTGGTATGGATGAGGAGGCACACATGGATGAGGTGTGTGTGGACGAGGGTGGTATGGATGAGGAGGCACACATGGACGAGGTGTATGTGGACGAGGGTGGTATGGATGAGGTGTGTGCAGAGTTCTGCGTTTTCCCTCGGGTTTGGTGGCCTGTGAGGAGGACCACCTCATGAGCTAGGGGATGCAACACCCTCTCTCTCCGCTGTCCTTTGGCTCCAGCTCCTGCTGCCATTTGAGAGGTATTTGGAGTGAAGGGAGTAAGTGTGGTGGTGGGGACAAGGGTGGGAGGTGGCACCCACCAGCATCTCCTGTGTGGAACAGGGCTTTTGGAGGAGGATGACGAGCAGACACTGGCCTCGGGCAGTGGCGAGCAGGGCTACTCTCTGTCCCACAGCCGTAGCAATCCTGCCCCTCAGTCTCCTGCTCAGCTGTGGGATTGGGGTCCATCTCAGCTCTCCCCAGGGTTCTATGAAACTAGATGGGCACACTTTCCCCATAGATCTCTCTCCATCCCGTTTCCGTCCACAACGCCAGTCCTTGCAGCCTGTGGGCTCAGCAGGACACCACAGATGGGACTCTTGGCAGGAGACCTGCCTGGCTGGCTGGTTACCTTTCTAGGGTCTGCAGCTGATTCAGGGGCTGCTGAGGCCACAGACTACGGAGGAGTAGACAGCTGTTCTGAGGACAGCAACCCACCCTGCCCACTGTTTCCCATGACCCCAACAGGCTGACAGAATCGCGTCCCTCAGGGGACAGGAAGTTCCAAACAGCCACCTATGTGCGGAGCACTCCATGTCACTGGGCAGAATAAGGGTTGGAGCTGAGGGTTGGAGCTGAGAGGGAACAAGCCACTGAGGGGGCCCTGCTCTGCCCACCTGGTCCAGCCAGTGACCAATGTCGTGTTTCGTTCTTTTAGATCTAATGCTGGACGATGTAATTGCTTCCGGCAACTCAGCCAGCGTGGCGCCAGGTACTGCGTCTGTGGTTGTGGGGTCCTGGGTGTGGCCTGGGGGCGACCAGGCCCTGCCTGTCCCCCAGGCTCACCTCATGTGCGCGGAACATGGTTTTTTTCCTCCCTCTCCAAGGCTCATAGATTCTATCCTCTGGGGGTGAGGGATGAGGGTCCCCGGGGCAGCCCCCCGAGGGCAGGAGCTGGGAGTCTGGGTCCTGTGTCATCCCACAGGCCTTTCCTAAACTGGACAGGAGGCGAGGGCCTTCCAGCATGCCCCTCCCTCCAGTACTTTTGTGGCCCCATGTTCTCTGCAAAGGCACTTGGGCTGAGTCCCTCAGCCCACTCCCCCACTGCCCTGGCCCGCTCCTCCTCCTCCTCCTCCTTCTTCTCCTCCTCGGATCACACCGTTCGATTATTAGAGCTGCAAATCTCGCTGGTCTCCTTTTGTCTGAAGGAGAGACTTTGATCCAAGGGAGCAAGATGAGAGGAGCAGAGAAGGGATGGATTTGTTTTAGGAATGTAACGATGAATAATTGAACAGACTCATTAATAGTCAAGCAATCGTGATGTCGACGTCATCGCTACAAACAGCAGGAATTGGAAATCAAAGGTCTGACTTAGCCACATGCTTCTCCCAAAAAAAGCCAAAGACTTGGGAGTGAGTTGAGTCCTTGTCTGTGAGAGCCAAGTCTCGGGAAAAGCCCTTCTGTTCCTGCGTGACCTCCCTGGGCCCCTGGACCTGGTCTCCTTGCGCCCACCCCCCTCCACATCCCTGCCCCAGAGAGTCTGTGATCAGGCAGCGGGGACCAGTGACACCTTCTGATGCCTCCACCTTGGTGGTTCCCAACCTGTTTATCCCCGAGGATCCCTTTATCAGTGCCCCCCACAGACCCCACATTGGATAGCCTCTGAACTTCAGAGTGCTGCGGTAATGACTTTGTTCCACTGCTTTTACTCATCAAAGGCATCTTTAATTGCTAATCTGAGAGAGTTACCACATTAAACAATGGGGGGAAACCCTACAACATCATTTTGCCTTTAAATTAGACTGTGGGATTTTAATATACAAATGCATGATTTCTTTTAAGCTTTTAGAAATAGAAGAACCTAATTTCCTCCCATGGCTGACTTCTCAGAGTGGGCCGTCAGGCTGGGAGCCGCCACAAGGCCCTTCACATCCCCCACCGTAAACACCACCCTGAGTGTGTCAGGCTGCCTGATCTACGGCACCTTGGGGACCTTGAGAGGGGTTCCCCTGAGCCGCATTCAGTAGGTCAACCCCGAGGCCTGAGGAGATTGTTGTCTGTCCCCATGGTACTCAGTTGAGATGTTTGACACTGACAGGCCGTCTCTGGGGGCACAGGAATCTTCAGCTGATGTGTGTCTGGGGCACCTGGGCCCCGCTTCGTTGTAAATTCCTGATGTGTTAGGTAGTGAGGAAAGGGTGTGGGGTGAAAATGACCTTGTGTTTCTCTTTGTATGAATCTACCTGCCTAATAGACTGAAGTATCCCCCAAATCTTACAACATAAACCTCCCCCCCACCCAGCATAAGGCTCCTCACAGAGGTGTGTCTGCTGAACTAATACATGTTCCCTGAAACTCTTCCTGGCTCACCCACTCAATGCTTCTCTCCCAATTCACAAGCTCGTTCTCTCTCTCTCTCTCTCTCTCTCTCTCTCTCACACACACACACACACATACCCCTACCTGGAAATTCAGGATTTTCCACCATGCTTCTGTTGCATACTTGCATTACCTACACTGATTGTGCTAGCAAGTCTTACCTTTCCAGGTGGTAAAGAAGACTCAGAGACTCCAGACAAGGGCTCAGACCACCCTTGTTCCCCACCCCTAGATTTGCAGTTCTCTGTGGTCCACACCAGAGCTGTTCAAAAGTTCATATGCCTGAGACTTTCTTGGAGTTTGTAGTAAAACAGATTCCTGGGCCCCGCCGCAGACATGCTGATGGGACAGGACACGAATTTCAACATTTCCAGCAGCACCCGGGTGGTGCTCTGGCCTCTCCAACAGAACGCGAGGACCAAGTCACACCCCTAGTCTGCAGCTGTTCGGCACCACACACATTCCCCATCTCCCTGCCGGTGCCACTTCTGGCGGGGGGTGGGGGAACAGCCAGCCCCCCAGGAAAAGGCAGAGGGAAGAGGATTGGATTGTCAGGGGGATGGACCAGACCACACTGCACAGCAGTTCAGGTAGAAGTAGAGATGGGCTCCTGGGGGAGTAGGTCAGCCCCAAGGGACGGCTTGGCTTTCCAGCCCCAGCCCCACTCTCCTCAGCCCCTAGGCATCTCTCCTTCCATCAGATTGGGTCTCACCAGGGCAGCTGAAGTGAGGCGTCTACCATGGGGGCCCTTTGTCCCTAGAGTGACCCCTGCCTTCCATCTCCTTCCCGACCAATTGTCTGCAAACCCTCAGCCGGAGCCTCAGGCTTCCAGGTCAGCCCTACTGACTCCCTGCGCGCACTGCTCTCATTGTGGCATCACTTTCCAAACCTGCACTGGGGCCTGGGCAAACCTCAGGGTGCCCTCCTGGTATTTTCTCTGCCTAAGGCAACTCATGCTGGTAGGAGGCAGGGAGATGGTGGCAGGCCAACAAGGCAGTGACCCCTCTTTGTGGTCTGTGACCACAGTGGAACAGCAGAGCCCTGAGCATCCTCCCAGGGTCTCTGAGAACCTAGGCGCTTGCCTCAGAACCAAGGTCTGGGAGCAGCAAGGCGTGGCAAGAGCCTTTGGGCAGACCACCTGAGGGCACCCTCTGGGCCTTGTGTCATACCCTACCAGGCTTCTGGTTGAGGGGACCAGCAGGGAGCTAGCACCTGGCTCAGCCACTGTCCCCCAATGTGCTGGGCAAGTCATTCTCTCCTGGGGCTTCTCCCACCCTCTATTAAACAAAGGAGCTGGTAGAAGAGGTGCTCATGGCATTGGCCTTGACCTTCGCTCTCAGGGAAGATTGCTGGGAGGCTCAATACCTGCTGGTCTGGAGAGGGGGCAGGGCTGAAGGGGCATTTGTACAACCTCAGTGACCTCAATCATCCAGCCTCTCCCTTTCCTCTGGGCTACAAAGTGGAACTTCTATCCTTCAGACCCCTAGAGGTGGGAAAAGCAGAAGGGAAGTTGATTCTGTTTGACCTGGGGCTGTGGGCAAAGCCAGGCCAGGGTGAAGAAGGGGAGAAGGATGACACTCCTCTCCCAGCCTCCACTCTGCATTGTCTCAGCTAATAATGGGGCTAATAAGGAGCCGCTTTTTCTAACCTAATTGTATTCAAACATTTTAGTTAATTCTCCATTCATATTTTAGCATAATGGGATCGGGTGCTCTCGGCATTTATGGAGATTAATGCAGAGAAAGAGTTCCGGCTGCTGAGGCATCGAAAGGCGACTAGCGCCCTCTGGTTCTTGTTGGTACTGGGGGAAGGAAGCAAGAGAGCCCGCCTGCCCGGCCACTCTCCACTGTGTGGATGACCCGTGGGCCCCTGCTGTCCCTGTCCCAGGCCTTGTGGGGTCAGGAGGGCCACCTGAGCAAAGCCAAGGTTGACTGGCCCATCTTAGAAATAAAAAAGTTGGTCTCGGGTACCCTGAAGGGCTGCTGGAACATTCGGACTTCCTGCCTCTTGGTCATCCACGTTTGAAGGCCAATGCTGGAGAGTGGGCTGGCAGGTCTGGAGCAGGCATCAGATGGAGCAGACATGCAGCTCCTGGGTATTCTTCTTCCTTCGGTCTTTGGTGCAGGCCCACCCCGGGCTGCTCCCTGCCTCGGTTTACCTCTCTGTTAAATGGTCCTCTGCATGGAAAGGAACAGTTACATCTGAGCTGGCCTGGGGCCTGAGCTTCCTGCTGCCCCTGAGCCAGCCGCCCCCTGGTACAGGTCTCAGATGCTGCAGCCCTTGCTGGCTGGCTTCTGCCCTAGACCTCCTGAGGTGGGAAGAGCTGTCTGGGACCTGAGGCTGCTCCATGCCTCCAAGACCGCAGCCTCTCGCTTCACACTGGCTGCCTGGGAGACCCACCTGTCAACCCCTTCATGTACCCTTAGCTCGACCTGGCCCTTCCTTGACCCCTGAACGAGGGTCTCCCAGCAATCTCCCTAGCCCCTAGATTTATTCTTCTCTTGGCCTCATGATTTTAATAACCAAGTGTTCCGCTAATTACAAGATAAATATTACGCCTCTGACAGATCTCAGACAGTGCTTCCTGCCCAGCCTGAGGTCTGAAGCCTCCCTGATACCAGGGACAGGCTGGGCATTGCTTCATTAGAAACTGGGTGAGTCTATCCGGTGTAGCCCTGCTGGCATTTGAGGCGAGTAGAGCCTGGCTGCTTCCCCTCTGCTCTCCCCAAGCTGAGGAGCAGGAGGCCCAGGCCCCCCCCTTCGTGCCCCCAGGCCCTGTGAATGGGTCAGTGCAGCCAGCCAAGAAGCTGTCCAATTTCCAATCTCCGGTTCTATCTCCAAATCCCAGCTCTGTGTAATCTTTGCTCCCCTTGAGGGGCTGAGCTTGGTGAAGTAGCAAGGGCCTTCGCCTAGCCGTTGATGGAGCTTCCTCTGAGCCTGATAAGACCGGCTGTTTTTCATTTTATTGATCTGACCTCGCTGTGGAACACTGAGTCGAGAGCATTGTGAGGGGCCGGTGGAATTTGGAGGCTGCCTAAGGAGGGGCTCACCCGGTATCTAATGTGGTTGAGGAGCTATGCATGTCTCGACCTCTCTAAGCCCCGGACTGTAGCCAGTAGAACAGATGCTTGACGGGGAGATGCCAAGAGGGCTGTCCCCCTTAAAAGGCAGTAGTTTGGGGAGGCTGAGGGTGCTGGTGACTCTGGAATGTTTCAGCTCTGGCATTAGAGGCTGGCGGCTGTGAGGGACTGTGGGTGGAGGGGGTGCCCGGGGTGGGGACCTGATGTCTGCTCCTGTCTCCTCCCGGCCCCACCAGAAGCCCAGTGCAAACCCTACTACTCAGACTACTCCCGCTTCCGGCTCCTCGTCCATCACTTGTGTACCAGCCACTACCTGGATCTCTTCATCACTGGCGTCATTGGGCTGAATGTGGTCACCATGGCCATGGAGCACTACCAGCAGCCCCAGGTAGGAGTGATGCCCCACACACACCCACGCTGAGGGCGAGGCCACCACACTCTGAACCAGGGTTTCTACATCCTGGGCATGTTCTGGGCACCCTACATAGGGACTTGTACTCCCTGCAGCCGCCTTGGGAGATGGGTATCATCTTTATTTCCCAGAGAGAGCACTGAGGCTCAGAAAGGTAGGTGGCTTGGCCAAAGCCACACAGCTAGGAGGCAGAGGGCCTGGTTTAGTCACTCAGCAAACATTTGTGGAGTGCTTACTATGTGCCTCTGAGCCTTTGAGGATGCAAAAGGCAGACTGGCGCCTACCCTTCTGGTGTTTATATTCTAGTGAACATCCAACTCCCAAACCTACACCTTATTCTCCTTTTAGCCTCCTTCAGCTTCTCTCCAGACCTCAGTTTCCCCAACTGTGACATAAAGAAGGAAAATGAATTAGTAATGTGTTACATACTGATTTATATTTGTATACTAAACAAGATATTCTCATTTAGACATTAAGCCCTCCTGGTAACGTGCCCTGAACAAGGCAGGCAGGCAGCTCCCTTGATTCATAGGTTTCCTTGGCTGATTATAAATAGATTTCCCAGGCTGTTTTAGTCTGGAACCTAAGGCTGAAACCTGTCTACCATGGGTAAACCTGGTGGGATTTGAAACGCCATTCTGAGAAAGAGCACTGGTGGCATGATGGTTAAGCATTTGGCTACTATCGCAAAGGTTGGTGGTTTGAGCCCTCCCAGAAGCTCTGGAAGAAAAGATCTGGCAGTCAAGGTTCCAGCCTTGGAATCCAGCCGTGGAAGCCGAGTGAAGCAGGTCTCCCTTTGTCCCTTAGGATTACCCAAATCAGAATTGGCTCAATGGCACACAAGGGCCCTTCTACCATTCAGGGCCTCCTAGAACACTCTCAGATGAGGAGACCATATGTCAGCCCCACCACTCTTAGGAGCAGGTTCAAGGAGAGGGATCCGTTAGCCCAAGGTTTGAATCATTGATAAGAATGATGATCCTAGTGGCTCACTGCTAAGGAATCACACTACCAACCCAAAGGCAAGCAGCTCGAATCTGCTAGCTGCTCTAAGGGAGAAAGATGGACATTTTTGCTCCTCTGAGAACCTGTTAGAGGGTCAGTTATGAGGCAGTTCCCATTTGGCAGTGCATGACAACTGCATCCTGAGGGGGTCCGGCTTTATGATGAGGACCTAGAAGACTCAGTCCCATTTGGCTCATCCAGTCTCCCAGACCTCAAAGGCACATTGGGGTGTGGGCAGGTAACAGCCCTCCGCCTTAGGGAACCGTGTATCTTGCCCCCATCCTGCCAGATCCTGGATGAAGCTTTGAAGATCTGCAACTACATCTTCACCGTCATCTTTGTCTTGGAATCTGTTTTTAAACTTGTGGCCTTTGGCTTCCGACGCTTCTTCCAGGACAGGTAACTAACAGAGGGAGGAGGGGAAGGCCGTGTCTGTTGCAGAAAAGCTCTGCTGGATCTAGTCTTAGAGGACCTTACTTCTACTCTAGGAGCCACCCAGGGCTTTGGTTGGGGTGGGGATCCCGGGCCTGGAGTAAGGGAGGTGTTGGAGGGAATTTGACAAGACAGGATAGAGCCTCGAATCGGACACTTGGGAGTGGCTTTGAATCCTGGCTCCACCACTTAGTAGCTGATAACCCTGGGTAATTTACTTAACTTCTCTGTGCCTCAGTTTCCATGTCTGTAAAATGGGAGATAAAATTAGTGTCCACAATACAGAATCATACGGATTAAGATGTCCTGTTTATAAAGCCTTTGAAACAGCATTTGGCACATAGTAGACAGCAGAGACAGATAGCCGTGAACTTGTGTGGAGCAGAACAAAATGTGGCCCAGCTTATAGCTTCTTCGTAATCATGGACATATTTGAGTCCAGAGCTGCAGCTCTTGTGTCATCTGTCTCCTGCCTCTTTGATGGTCCTTGATCTCCGCAAGTGTCATGTTCTCCTTTGGAGACTGATTCCTCCTGAAGATGTGTATGCAGCAAGCAAGGCAGACGGTGTTCCGTTGTGGTTTGTAGCTTTTCACTGGCCGATTACCAGAAACAGATGGCGAGGCCATTCTCCCCAGTCTGTGTAAGTCTGGAAGCTCGGCTGACACTGTCCACAGTGGATGATGACCCAGGTGGTGTTTGAAATACTGGTAGTATAGCATCCAATGTCACAGCAATCACAGTATGACACACAGGCGCACGGGTGGTGGAGTTAACTCCGTGTAAGTGCTAAGTGAAAAAGGCCAGTGAATCAAGGTGAGAAGCAGCGGCCCATGATCTGAAGCCCTAGGCCAAGCTCTGCTGGTAACCAGCTGTGCAACTTCAGATGAGTCACGCCTCTTCTCTCCTCCAGCCCTCATAGTATCACAAGTGCCCCTCGGCTGCAGTGACACTCAGCGTGCTGTGTCCTGGGCTTTGCAGGTGGAACCAGCTGGACCTGGCCATTGTGCTGCTGTCCATCATGGGCATCACGCTGGAGGAGATCGAGGTCAACGCTTCGCTCCCCATCAACCCCACCATCATCCGCATAATGAGGGTACTGCGCATTGCCCGAGGTCAGTGCCAGCCACACTGTCCTCTTGGGGCAACCAGCCCAGGGGATTGGTGACAGCAGCGGTCAGCTCTGTAGCTAGTCAGGGACTGGGCAGCTGTGAATTCTCACTCATCTCTCCCTCAGCCTCTGTTGAAGGGAATGCCAGGGGCTGGGGTGAGGGTGGAGCCATGGCAGCCTGGTGGGGCCACAGTGCCCGTCTCACCAGCCCCAGCACTGGCTCCCATGTGGCTGGGCCTCAGAGGAGCCAGCTGATGACTCTGTCCTGTTCTGCAGTGCTGAAGCTACTGAAGATGGCTGTGGGCATGCGGGCACTGCTGGACACAGTGATGCAGGCCCTGCCCCAGGTAGCTGGAAGGTGGGGGTGGGCCTGCCCAGGGTGCGGAAGGTGCTCTCTAGAGGGGTGGGCCGAAGACAGGGAGGAGAAGGGGGGCCCAGGGCTCCACTCAGCTGATTGGGAGATCCACCGGCACCATTTCCCTTTCTTCTCCTCTTTTCCAGGTGGGGAACCTGGGACTTCTCTTCATGTTATTGTTTTTCATCTTTGCAGCTCTGGGCGTGGAGCTCTTTGGAGATCTGGGTGAGTTGGGGTGGGGGAAGGCGGAGGAGCCAGAGCCAGGAGCCAAGGGGCTTTGGGAGTAATCTGGGGTCCTCCCCTCCTTTTCTCTCTCCCCAGAGTGTGACGAGACGCACCCCTGTGAGGGCCTGGGCCGCCATGCCACCTTTCGGAACTTCGGCATGGCCTTCCTGACCCTCTTCCGAGTCTCCACTGGTGACAACTGGAATGGCATTATGAAGGTGACCGACCCCTCCAGGGAGTCTCTCCCAGGCTGGCACGAGCCTCAGGGAGGCAGCCCCACTTCTTGAGCCAAGATCTCTTGGGATAATGAGTAAAAGCCTGTGACCCTCTCCCCCGATCCCGGAACTCTCTGGAGCTCCCCTGTCCCTGGGACTTGCTCTGACTCATGAGTTCCTCAACACTGTGTCCAGCTCTGCTCCCCCGGACACCAGAGCGCCCTTCTCCTCCTCTCTTCCTCCCTCCACGCCCTGTGGCACCAGTGATCCGATTGCCCCGTTGAGCTCCTCCATCTGTCCTCCCCAGCCTGACCCATGTGCCCCGCCTCCCCCAGGACACCCTCCGGGACTGTGACCAGGAGTCCACTTGCTACAACACTGTCATCTCCCCCATCTACTTCGTGTCCTTCGTGCTGACAGCCCAGTTTGTACTGGTCAACGTGGTCATCGCTGTGCTCATGAAGCACCTGGAGGAAAGCAACAAGGAGGCCAAGGAGGAGGCCGAGCTGGAGGCGGAGCTGGAGCTGGAGATGAAGACACTCAGCCCGCAGCCCCACTCACCGCTGGGCAGCCCCTTCCTCTGGCCTGGGGTCGAGGGTCCCGACAGCCTGGACAGCCCCAAGCCTGGGGCCCCGAACCCTGCAGCCCACCCCCGGGCATCGTCAAGGTTCTCCCTCGAGCACCCTACGGTGAGTGCATTCCCTCCCCTGCCAGGGGCGGTGCCAGGAACAAGGATGGGGAGGGGGTGGCTGGAAGCTACATCTGATGGGACACAGGAGCCCAGTGGGTGGCCAGTGACCTTGGGTCTCATCCTGGATGCGGAAGAGACAGCAGTCCCCGCTCCTCCCAGAGAAGGCTGCCACACTGTCACTCACTGGGCCGCCTTGTCACCACCAAGCCAGCCAAGAAAAGTGCTGGCTCTTCCGTCTGCTCCTGCAGCCTGGCCTGGCCTCCCCTTCCAGGCTGTTAGGCTCAAGGCTAAGTTTTCTGTTTCCTTCCTGTTTCTTCTTTCCCCTTGCCCTGTTGCCAAACCTCTCTCCTTGACTCCCTTTCATCCTTCAATCCTTTGACTTCTCTTTCCATCACTCTAACTGTGGGTTCCTCTCATTTCCGGTCTCCCATCTCTCCTTCCCTCCACATCTCTCTTCCTCACCCTTCCTCCCTGTCTATCTGTGTGTGGATGTGGTTGTGGGTGTGGTGCGCTGTGTGTGTCTCTTTCTCTCTCATCAATCCCCTGCCATGACACTCCCCATCACTGCCCCTCTGACCCCTGCTCCCATCACTCTGGCTCCCTTCACGGGCTGGTCCTCCCAGGACAGACAGCTGTTTGACACCATGTCCCTGCTGATCCAGGGCTCCCTTGAGGGGGAGCTGAAGCTGATGGATGAGCTGGCAGGCCTGGGGGCCCAGCCTGCTGCCTTCCCTCCCGCCCCCAGCTCGGGCGGCTCCGACCCACAGGTTACTGTGCCCTGTGCTGTGCCCCCTCAACCCCAACTGTGCCGGGCTGTGCCATGCTGTGCCACGCTGCTGGGGGCGGGGGTGAAAGGTTCCTGCCTACTAGGGAGCTCAAGAAAGAACACCCCGAGGGCCTCAGTTGAGAACTGGGCTTGGGAGGAGGCAGCCAGAGGTCCTTCCAGGCTCGGCTCAGCCTCTGAGGAATAGATGCTGAAATGGGCACTTCTTAGGGAGAAGGATAGCAGAGAGGGGGCTACGAGGGGAGTTGTAAGAAAGGACCTGGGAGTGGTAAGGAGGATGGGGACAGAATGCAGGCTGGCAGTGGGACCTGAGGCATGGAGCTGAAAGGTGCTAGCCGAGGGGAGAGGGGCTTTCGGGGTAGCACAGGTGGCCAAGGATCTTGTTTTGGATCTGGTCCATTTCTCCTCCTGCCCAGCTTCTGCCTTCTGCTCAGCTCTCTGTTGGGCTTGTTGAAGCCATGAGCCACTGGCTGTGATGAATGTAGTCAGTAAATCAGCAATCTCAGAGAGCCTGACCTTGTCACAAGAGGGAGCTGGGGGCTCCAGCCTGGGTGTGGATTCTAGGGGGACATTGATGTGAAATGGAATTGACTGCTACCCCAGCCCAGCCCAGCCCCTCCCCACTGCACTCCAGGCTCCTTCTTCCTCAGGCCCTGTGGAACCAGATCCACTGTCTTTTGGTTCCCCAGCCCTCCTCTCCTCCCTAAAGCCCATCAGCTAGAGGGGTAGGTCCTCCTCAGCCCTCCTCTCAGGCTTAGCGGGCCTAGTGGGGTGAGGAGACAGGTGTGAGCTGGAGGTGGGAAAGCTTAGCCGTCCAGTCCCAGGCTCTTTAGGGGTGGAGGGGCTGGAAGGCAGTTCTGAGCCCCTGCAAAGCTGTGCATACAATCCAGACGAATGGACAGTGGTTGGTGTTGGAGTGGGTGTTTGCCTCTGGGGCTCCTGCTTCTTGCGACTCAGACTCAGAGAAGATGGGGGCCGAAGCTGGTGGCAGTGACCCTAGAATGATCACAAGAAGAGAATATGGGATGGTGTTAGGGTAGTCAGCCACTGAGGGCCCAGGGAGTACACAAATGCCCCCTGTAGACCCCCGGGGAGCCAACCAGATGGCATGGTGCCCACATGAATCTGCCCAATTCAGGCCGAAGGAAGGAGAGGGCAGGCAGGATGCAGGCAGGCGAAAGGAGGGCCGGGGAGGGGAGAAGCTAGAAGCTGGGGGCAGGCCAAGTCCTGCTAGGCTTTTGGAAGCACAGAGAATAGGCAGAAAACAGCCGTCAGATTGGCCGTATTGTCCCCGGCGCCCCCCACGCCGCTCTGTCTGTGCGGAGAGGAGAGACGGCGCTTTGCTGGCCTTTCTTCATGTTTTCTTTTTCTTTTCTCTCTCTCTCTCTTTTTTTTTTTTTGGTATCATCTTTATGAGAGCGAAGGCCTCCCTCCCTCCCTCCGGTTCCCTCCCTGGGTGGTGGCAGTGTGGGAGGGGGCTGTGAAGGCTCCTGGGGTATCTTTAGAATGAGGTTCTGCGTCTCCCCGCTTTGTCAGTGTTTGTGCTGGCTCTTTGGTGCTTGCCGCAGCCTCTCTGATGAGAGCAGGGGGTTGAAGTGGGTGAGGGGGGGTGTACTGTCAGTTTATTAGGGAAAGGGGTGGAGAAAGACAGGGATGCCTTTCCTACCCATGCTTTGGGGGTGGGAAAATGGGGGCAGGGGGGACTGAGTGTGTGTGTGTGCGTGTGCGCTGAGTGCTCTGTCCTGGTTTCTTATGCCTGATCATCTCTCTCCCTGTCTAGATCCCTCTAGCTGAGATGGAGGCTCTGTCTCTGACGTCAGAGATTGTGTCTGAACCGTCCTGCTCTCTAGCTCTGACGGATGACTCTTTGCCTGATGACACTCACACACTCTTACTTAGTGCCCTGGAGAGCAATGTACATACACACGGCCCTCTCACTGCCCGCCTCCCCCAGCCGCCCCCAGGGCTGGGCTGGCCGCAGGGCTCCAGACACCGGCTGCCCAGGGAGGACTTGGGGGCGCCTCTCCTCTCACTCTGCCCTAGGCCCCACCTCAAGCATCAGCCAGCAGGCACCTGGTGACCCGGTCTTTGCTGGCAGGATGCCTTTCAGTTCTCCTTCTGTGGTAAAAGAAATTAGAGAAGATGAAATTGGATCGTTGGCCTTCAGGGCATAGGAGTTGTAAAAGGATTAACCCAGACACCCAAGAGTGATATAGCCCCAAACAGAGAGCCCCAGGCAGCTGACCCAAGTCCTGGCTCAGTCAGTCAGTGCCCGTGTTTGGAGCCCTGTGCCAGCCGGTCTGCCTCTCCTTCCTACCTGTCCTCCCCGCCTCTCTCCCCAACATGAGACATTCAGCACCACATAGTGGGTGAGAGCCACATCTCCGCTGCCGCCATGCCTCCTCCACCTCGGGGCCATTCTGGTCCTTTCTATCACTGTTTCTGTGTCCCACTAGTCTTGGGGGCCTGTCGTTGTGTTGTTGCAACTTCTTCACCCTCTTCTGGCTCCCCAGCTCCTCTGTTCATGCGAAGCTCCCTGCTCCTGGCCTCCCCCCTCCTCTTGGAACTTAAGAAGGGGCAGGGACCTCCCCTGCCGGCAGAGATCATCTGGACCAGGGCCTTAACCATAGACACGGTTTCCTTGGAGAGTTCCCTGGAGGTGCAGAAGTGTAGTCTGGGGCTCAGAGGAGAAGCAAAAGGTCCAGACATTTCCCCAACTTAGGGACTAGACCCAGCAGCCTCTCTGAGAATGAGAGTTCAAGGTTTCAGGGGACCCTGGGAACCCTGGAGGGAAGAGGGTTACAAGAGTGATGGAGAACTCTTTGAAGAACAAGCCTAGGCCCCCTCTACCCAGGATCAAGGGTTAATTAACACCTTTCCTTGGACAGATGTACTAAAACCACTTCCACCCCCAGTTTGTCTTTGAGGGAGGAGCTGAGGCCAGTCACCTGTGTTATCTGGGAAGGAGCCCTCCAGGCTTCCCCTATCCACCAGTCTAACCTGAGGCTTTACAGTCTCTCTCGAGCCAAGTCTCCTGCTGCCTAGCAGGGTCGTCCTGAGCCCCACACAGCCCTGGCACCCAGTCTCCTTGACCAGAACCTGGGGAATGTGCTTCGTGTACTTCCTCTTCCCCTGTGCCGGCCTCGGTCAGACCTTTCCCCTGGGCACCAGATGCCGCCAGAGCCTTTAGAAAGAGCTCTCTAGCCCTCGCGGGGTGGGGCCTGGGGGTGCCCACCCTTCCTGGATAGTCTTCATCCCTCCACCATCCCTACAGGAGGCTTCTAGGAGGTTCCATGTGAATGAGGGGCAAGGCCTCCTCCGACCCCCCCCTCCCTGTACTTGGAGGCCCCATCTGTGTGTCTGCTCTCCTGCCCCGTGCCCATCACCACCTTGTCCTGGGAGGGAGGGTCCTGGTTTCTGTTGTCCTTTGCCGCCTCTGCCACCAGATCTGGACACCCTTGTTCCTTCCACTTTTCTGCTC